TCCCACAATCCTCCACCCTGAAAAAGAGCCCAGCCTCTCCCTCCCTGCAGCCTCTCACCCTTCAAGGCTTTGTCCACAGGCTTCCACAGGCTGTCCTGCTCCACCTGGCCCCGATAGCGGTCCCTCTTTTGGGGATCAATCCGGATGCTGAGCCAGTAGTGGTAGGTCCCATCTGCATTGGGGGCCACAAACCCACGGAAGGTGTCCTGCAGCCATTCCTCCCCATCCCTCCTCCAGGAGGCCTCGATCTCCTTGGGGTAGAAGCCATCCACGCGGCAGACATGAGTTTCCATCCCATCGTCGGCCTCCGTCTTGCTGCTCACCGTCACCACTGGGGCCTCTGCAGAAACGACACCCCCGGAATTAACTCTGAGCCCCTCCAGAGCCCGTAGGGGGACGAGAAACTTGACAGGCAGGAAAGTCTCCCAATACTTAGTTTTAACGCAGGGATTTAACACTCCACACCTGCAGCGTCTCCAAGAGTTTTTGGAGATGCTCCAAATCGGGAAAGTGCTCAGCCACAAGGACTCCTGATTTTGAGTCCTTCCCAGTGACACAGTCCGAAAAATCTCTGCCAGCAAATTGAGGGTCTGAGGAAATTCCACACGGCCAGCTTTGAAGTGACTGATCTTGGGCTGCTCCCTTCAGGGGAGGGTTACTGGAGCTGCTCTTTTAAGTTCCCTTTCAAAAGAACAACACAGAAGTTTCTCCCTACTTTTTGGGTCCTCTTCCACTCCCCCAAATCTTGGGCTGCTCCCTTCAGGGGAGGGTTACTGGAGCTGCTCTTTTAAGTTCCCTTTCAAAAGAACAACACAGAAGTTTCTCCCTACTTTTTGGGTCCTCTTCCACTCCCCCAAATCTTGGGCTGCTCCAGGCCCCTTTCAAGGGACACCAAAACGTCAAGAGGAGGAGAGCCGGGGGTGGGGGGTGCAAGGCAGGGAGGGAGGGAGCCCCCTGTGGGATGGGGAGGGAAGGACAGCTGCTGGGAGGAAGTCAAGGCCACACATCACACTTGGCCACGTTTTGGCTAATGGTGGCTTCACTGAAGAACCCCAAGTGGCCTGTTGCCTCCTCGTGGGCTGTGCTCAGGACACCCCTCAGTGCTTTTGCTGCCTGACCCACACAGACACCCGCCAGGCCCTCGATTCTGGCCAGCCACACCTACGGTCTGGGAGGGCAGAGGCTGCGGTTCCTGCACAACGTAATGGCTGCCTGGCAATGGGAACTAAGCAGGGCTTCCTGCATCCTGGAGAGGCAGGAAGGGGAGGAGGGGGATTCCTTCCCGGGCATCCAGGCTGCAGAGCAGGGACCCAAAGGGGGCCGAATGTGTGCAAGATGTCCAGCCATAAAAGAAGAAAGCCCAGCCTGGGCCCAGATGCTCACCTGTCCTCAGCAGCGTCTCCTTCCCGTAGGACAGGTACTTCTTCAGCCACTCAATGCATTCCTCCTCCAAGTAGGCCTTCGTTCCCTGATTGAAGCCTGAATCAGCATCCCACTTCCTCTTGGTGATCTGGGCCTGGGGCTCAGGAGCCACCCAGGTGAGGGTCTCCTTGTCGAAGGTGATGAAAGTCCTCCCGTCGTAGCCAAAGCGCATAAACCCTCCTTTGCTCCCGTCTCCCCGGAGCTCACAGCCGTACATGCCCTGGCAGGTGTGAAGGCCTGAAAGAGGGACAGGAAGATGGTTTGGGGAGTCCTCTGGAGAGACAGAGACCCCCTCCCTGCCGGGACTTTGACACAGGTCAGAGGCAGCGAGAAAAGGGATAATGGTTGGAAAATGAAAGAAATACATTTTCCCCCATGAAGCTCCTCATGTCCCCCTGGATGAGGCCTTGGGGCCTGCCGTCCTGCCCCCAAATCGGACCTTGAGGGTCTCCAGATCCAGTTGCCCCCCACTTGAAAGCCTCCCGTTTCCCTCCATCTTCTCCCTCCCCCAAAGTCTCCTTCTGGGTGAAAGGCAGAACAAGCAGCGCCATCTTGGCCTTGGATCCACAGAGCCCAAAGTCCTCTGTCTGGAGGCTCAGTGCAGAGAAAAATGGCCAGAAGGGGGGCGAGGGGCAGAGGGGGCCCCCTAAACCCCATGTCAAGACCACCAAGAGAGGCTCCTCAGAGGCTTCTTTTCTCAGGAACAGCCCCACTCCTCCTCCCCCATGTCTGCCTTGGGGTCCCCTGATCAGACCCCTCATTGAGATTTTTCATTCACACGTGCCCAGGATGGGGGCTCTGATTCCCCCCCCAAAATTATAGAGGATCCAGTTCCCACAACCTCCTTTTTCTCAGAGAGAAACCAACTCAGGGGCCCTTCCCCAGTTCCTCTGCTCCCCAAAGGAATAGGGGATGGCAAGAGGTTCCCTAGTCTCTGCCCCTCTACACACTGCCCCCCAAAAGGGAGAACCTCCTGGCCCAGAAGGAAAAGCATCCAGGGCCCATGACGGCTTGGCCCCCTGAAAATGGCCCCTATTGCTCTCTCAGAAGTCCTGCACGTCTAAATAGTTGCCCCCAAATCCTCAGACCCCCATTGATATTTTTGCATTCACACATCATGAGGATGGGGGCTCTGGTTCCCCCTTGAAGAAGTATAGAGTCCAGTTCCCACAACCTCCTTTTCCTTAGAGAGAAGCCAACTGAGGGGCCCTTCCCCTGTTCCCCAAAGGAATGGGGGAAGGCAAGGAGTTCCCCAGCCTCTGATCCTTCACCTGTTGCCCTCCAAAAAGGGGAACCTCCCAGCCCAGAAGGAAAAGGGTCCAGGGGCCAAGAGGGCTTGGCCCCCTGAAAATGGCCCCTGTTGCTCTCTTAGGAGTCCTGCATGTGTGAGTAGTTGCCCCCAAATCCTCCAAGAGGGAGAACAAACATCCCCATTTCCTCACTAGTGTTCAACAGAAAGAAAGCCCCCCAATTGCCCCCAGTCTCCCCTCCCTCGATGTCAGACTGGGTCCCTGCGTCTCCCCCCAGGATGGAGCCCCTGCCCTCTAGCAGGAGCCTCGCCATGGAAAGGGCAGCTGTCAAGTTCCATTTTCAGTTCCCGGGATCAGAAAAGGCAGCAGAGGATCCCAGGGGGACTGAGAAGAGATGGAGGCGCAGAAGAAATGGAAGGGTGGAGCTTCCTCCAACTTTCTTTCTGCCACTCCTCTGTTTGGGGGAGTCTTGGGGGGAAGCGAAGGGATCCCAGGGCAGGAGCAGTTGCCTGAATCTGCAGCTGCATAGAGGGACCAAGAATCGTGTGGCCTCAAAGAGGATCCGGTCGATCTGGGCAGAAGCTGGCAGCGATCCTGGTGACCGTAAATTGTGGTATGCATTCACAAGGCCTGGCCCCCACTTTGGGCTAACTAGAAGCAAACCATGGCTTAGTGCAATGTGGGAATGAAGCCTTGAAGGGCCACAAAGAAATATTTTCCTTAGGAACAGTAGCAAGTGGCCCAATATTTATTTTTATTTATTTTTA